TGGAGCTTTCGACAACACTCCTACGACACCGTGCAGCAACTTGGAGCTTTAAGTAATAGTCCTACAGCTTCCTATGACATCGAGCAGCGGTTAGGTGCATTGGACAACACCCTAAAACATTCCTATGACACCGGACAACGGCTTGGAGCTTTGGACAGCACCCTACAGTATTCCTATACACCGGGCAGCGACTTGGAGCTTTGGGTAATGGTCCTACAGCTTCCTACGACATCGGGTAGTGGCTATGAGCATTGAACAGCACCCTACAACATTCCTACGACACCGGACAGCGGCTTGGAGCTTTGGGTGGTGGTCCTACAGCTTCTTATGACATCAAGCAACGACTTGGAGCTTTGAGTGTTGGTCCTACAGCTTCCTACAACATCGAGCAGCGGCTAGGAGCATTGGACAACACCCTACAACATTTCTATGATACCGGACAACGTCTTGGAGCTTAGACAACACCCTACAACATTCCTATAACACCGGGCAGCAGCTTGAAGCTTTGGGTAGTGGTCCTACAGCTTCTCACAGCAAAGAACAACACTTTTACAGTGACTAACGACAGCTATTAATCACCAAACAACACTTTCAAGCCCCCCAAACGGCAGTTTTCAAACACCTAAACGCTACCTACATTTCTTCCAAAACAACATGTAAACCAACCCCAAGAAGATGCATTTAAACATTCCCCAAACAATGTTTAATATGCAGCGAAAGAATTCATTTGTCACATATGCAAGTATTCGAGTTCCATGTGTGGGGCGTGTGTGTAAAAAATTGAGACTAAGGTGTTAGATATGCGAATTTGCAAACAAGGCTATCAAAGAGCCATTTAATTCCTAAAGCAAACGATCATTCAGAGCATGATAGCGGTTATGTTTGGATGTTCAAGGCACAAAACCAACAAGGAGACATTTAATCATGAAGTGAACGGTCATTTGGAGCTTAAGTGTGAGTTATAACACATGTGAATGTATCACAATTAAGAAAAGTTGTACTTATACGAATGGGAATTAAGGATCGCGCATGTGAACTCACGAGAATGAGGAAATCTATACATGCGCAATTGAAGCTCAAGCATCAAGAGTCAAATATTTATGAATTAGAGAATTCGTATACTCAAATTTTACAAAAGCGAAACACCAAAATTTTCCAACAACATGAAAGATTTCAGATTTTCTTCAAAAGCTAAATATGAATATAACCCTTTTTGATTTTTAAAAGTAAAATTTTAATTTTAAAATAGGTGAAACCAAACGGTTCTTACATTTTAAATAGTTTAGATAATTGAATACAATACTACAAGTAATACATTTATCCCAAAAAATAAATATATCACTTATAATAGGGATTCAATCACCTGGATTCAATCACTAAGAATTCAATCACCTAAAATAAAGAATTTGTGACATCCGTTTTGGTCTGCGAAATATTATAAAAAAAAGCCAACAAGTTTCCCTACCTAACATAAAAAATTAGATAAGATTTATTTTATCTGGGTTACAGGTTCCCTATAGAGGCAAAACATTAAAATTTTTAGATTTTTTTTTTTTTTTGCAAATCCAAAGTCATGAAACATTCAAAGTTCTCAAACAAAAAGATAAATAAGCCTCGAGTCTCTTTGCTTCTCATAAATCTTTTCAAAACAATAACTATATGCAGGACCAAGACAATCTTTGAATCTAAAGACCGCAAGAGGCAAACCAAATAACAGAACTTTAACAACTTAAGCAAAAGAGGGGTGTGTAAGTTTAAATTTATCTGGCTTACCAGGGTCAGAAGCAGAAAGGAGAGGAGACGAGGGTTGCGGTCCACAGAGAGGAGCAAGAGGCGAACGTTTCCATTCGCAGAAGAGGGATGCAGTGTCGAGCGGTTGTTCGACGTGATGAGGAGCTCATGATGTCGAATGTGGCTCTCAATCTTTGAGGGAGGCGAAGCAGACGTACGCAAGAGAGCTGAGCGACTTCGGTTCTTCCTGTCGAGCGGGATTGAGCAGAGAAGTGAGATCGAGCAAAGGCTTCGCTCGGGAGAGTGAGGCGAGCGGACTCGAGCAGAGGAGCGGAGGGCTTCGGCGCAGGATTTGAGCGCTTCGGTTCGCTGGAAGGAAGAATCATGTCCTGTCGAGCGGCGGGGACGAGCAGGAGAAGAGCGGGTGAGGCAAAGAGGAGCTTCGGCTAGGGATACGATCGAGTCGCAGAGGAGGAGAGAGCGAGCGGAGGAGGGTGTTCGGTCTTTTGGTCGTAAGGGAGAGGAGAAGATGAGCGGGAGTTTCGTTCGGTAGAGCTGGGCGGAAGCGAGTGGAGGAGAGGAGCTCGGAAGAGGCAGAGGAGGAAGACGAGCTGCAGGGGGTCTTCGGTCGAATGAGAGCGGGGAGCGGAAGCTCTCGTGCACGAGAAAGAAATAGGCCAGCGGGAGAGGAGCTGTTACTTGAATCAATTGGCGGGGAAATAAATGGTTTCCATATGCACATAGAGGTTTAATTGGAAGGTATTAACACCTGAATAATTTTAATTAAGACAATTTAAATAATTCGTTTGAATTTTGAAATTTGAATTTCAAATTCATGTGAGCTGGTGCCTAGCCTGTGTTCAGCCCGAGTCCAGCATGAATCAAACCCGACTCGAACATGGGTTGAGCCCGGGCTTGCGCACCGCTAAAAAATATGCATCGATATCCATGTTAATTGCTCGCACGCGAAACCATAACGATATGGGTGTCCTTCCTAACTAAAGTCGACGTCCCGGACGCATCCGTGTAGTCTATTTCGTCGTCCGGGGTCGTCCAGACCAGTTCGCCGACGGGCGAGTCAATTTAAGCCAAAATTATGCGGGATGCGATGCGTGCGCAAAATGCGGGGTTATTGAGCGTTCGGGTCGCAAAGGGGTTCCCTAGGGGCTGCTCCTATTAATGTAGGAATTCGACTTGAGTTTCATGTGTCGATCCTAATCAACTCAACGGGATGTTAAGGATTTGGGACAGCCCATGTGAAACTCGAAGGAGTGACGAGGTGGCTTGAATTTTCTAAATGATGTGGGTTTTGTACTAGTCCTCTAGGAGGGTCAAACAAGAGAAGCCTAAAGCTAGACCTAACCTAGACTCTAAGGAGAGAAGTGAAGACCTCATCCGAAAATGAGGTCAACACATGCATGACAAAGATGTGGGGCCATCTATATTGTAGCTTTACAAACCATTCAATTTCCCTCCCAATAGCTAACAAGGTCTTTTTAAATCAGATGATTTTATTGGTAAATAATAATTTATCTGAACTATCATTCTAAATAATTAAATGTTCTAAAGTTTATTTCTATTATTTATGGATAAGCTTCACCTTTAATTTGAATCTAACTTTTTATTTTGAATTTCCACCACTTTAATCCAACAAATCCAAGGAAAAAACAATATGAGCTATTAGAAAAAGCATCATTGGCTGCTAATAAGGTTGGGAGCTTAGCTTGAAGATTGAGGATCACTAGAAGATTAGATCGAGCTCTAAACAAGAAAGATAAATCGAGTTATGAGTCAAAATTTTGGTTCAACTAGATTTTCAAGTCAAACCTGAATCGGATCAAGTAACAAGTGATCAGATCAAAAGTTAGATATTACATATTTATTTAAACTTATGTGTACATGTGCAAGTGGTTAGGTACATAAATAGATTTAAATGGATAGTAGAATATAGCCACAAAACATCTTGTATACTTTGAGTGAAGATTTGATTTACTCAAAATTGGATTGTTTCACTTCCTTAATAACTAAACTATTTTAGCTTAATGGGCAAAAATTAAACAAAAAACCAAAGCAAATAAAGAGATGAAATTAAAATAGGAGAAAAAGAAAAGAGAGGTTTAAGAAAGTAGAGTGAAGAAAATCTGACACTTTTTTTAAAATTTTAAAACATAACAATTTAAACAATTAAAAGTTCAAAACTATTAAGAACAACATAGTAGAATGCTTATCATTTTGAAAACCTGACAATCTCAATAGCTCAACGTTCTATGGAAGACATTGTGGTAAAATATAGTTTGTAGCAAAAACCGAGCATGAAGCAATAGAACCATGATCACGGAAAATAATTAACACCATTGAACTCGATGTTTGTATCAATGGTGGATGGGGCTTTTGACTTATCGAGATATCAATGAGAAGTGATGATGCCATTTGAGTGGCACGAGAGGATTCAAGAGATAGCTAATGTGTTTTTGATGCAATGCTCGAAGAGAAAATTTCACTTTTATTACATATATATCGGTGCTTAAGCATAAACATCTTGGGAGTGCGCAAGGAAGATAATAATGATAAAGATTCGAATCTTATGATCAACAATGAAAAGAGATTCCAAGGAGAAATATTCTCATCCCATCTTAAAATGTTGGATGCAAACTTCTGCTTACGAGAGGGGTCCACTTCGAATAATATATTTCATCTAAGCTAATAACTTTGACTAGGTAATAATAATTTAACAACAGATCCATAGAGATAATCTCAAGTGTAATCAAGCTTTTGATTTGACTAAAATAGGAAAGAAACTCTCAAAATTTAAGGAAAAAAAATATAACATCGTGCACAAGCTTAAAAAGTTTCTGATTTAACTTAACGAGATTATGAACAAACTCTTTAAGAAGCTTGATTAAATTTTGATATTTAAATAAATTTCAATATAAATTACAACTAGAAATATAATTTACTTTAAATAAAATAAGCTTAAAAATAATATAAAAATAACTAAATTTTGTGAAATTTCTTAAAAAGGTATAGCTTTTTTTTAAATAAAAATACAATTATGGAAGAAAGCAAAACTAAAGTATTAAAAAAAAAAACATTGAGTAGCGTATCCTCACCTTAGATTGGGATATACAAATACATAGGGATTGGGTATTATGTATGTAAATTTTGCCCCTAGATAAATAAGGATTGGGTGGTATGCAAGTAAACGTTATTAGGTTAAGAGCGAGAGAAATAACCAACAATAAATGCCAGCCAGGGTAGGGCATCCTCACCTGCGATGCCGCAGTGCCTACGAGTGATGGCGCGAGCCCTCCGTAGAGCCGCCCCCATCCTTCCTGCTTCACCACCTACAGTGATCACATCGCCAATCAATAGAAATTCTAAGAACACAATGAAATCATTACCAAAAGAACCATTCCGGCATAAAGACCTGGCGCATCTGCTTAAGAGTTCCATCCCTACTGATGGACTTGGACTTCGACAGATCGCGCTCCGTTTGCTGACGAGTATTGACCTAGAAGAACGAATCGTAGAAAAACAAAAAACCTGTCATGAAATGCAGAGAGATGGAAAAGTTTAGGTTTAGAAGATGTACAGTTTGCAAAGGGTAGGTGATGAGCTGAGCAATGATCCCTCCGCTCGCCCCGGCGACACCGTTGATGAGAGCGTCCGACATAGAAATTGACGAACGGGGACGAACGGCGGCAGCGCGGAGATCCCGGGAAGCGATGGTAGAACAGGATGTAGAAGATTCTTTGCTTGCGTGGAGAAATTGGCCTCCCGGATTCAGGAACAGGGAAATTCATTTATTGAAGTGAAAGAAAGCGAGGTAATGGTATAATTCATACAAAGCTAAACAAATAATTTTTTATTTATATATTTTTTAAAATATTAATACTAATACGAAAATTAAAAAAATTACTTGTGATAGTTACAAAATTAAATTCAATATAAATATTAATTTATGCTAAGATCTGTCTGCGGGTTTTATCAAGCTCTGATTCTAGATGTTGTTGAATCTATTTGGCCTTTTTTTAACCTAAATTCATTAAATCCGCATAATAATCAGATTTAGAAATTCAGGACTTACATCTGTTGAATCCAGATTTGTTCTGTGATGAATGACTAAGGATCGGAATAGCGAAAACCTTGAAATAAAAGTAGAAAAAGAATTAGAAAGAATTAAAAGAACACACATAGATTTGTCGCATAGAAGCAAACTGGAATATTCTGAGCTCTAAGACGCATTTTATATATTTTAACTGAGAGATTACAATAGAAAATGAGAGTAAGATCTTCTTAGGAGTATGAGTCTAGAGAGAAGAGCAAAAAAAGCCTTAATACATACTATTGACCTTCTATTTATAAGTGAAAAGTTATACAATTGTCTCTATTTTAATAAGGATGTTACATGATTTTATTATCAGTTATCATGCTCTTTCACATTCGTAGTTCATTTTCACAACTTTTGATGTGCTTGGATCTTTTGTTCTGCAGTTCCCCGAGTCAATCAACTAAGCTGACGTCAGACTATTATTTTATTGAAATATCGGTCGGCTTTCGCCCATGGAAGTTGGTTGACTTTTAAAGAGGCGGTTAGGCAGCTTTAAGGTGGTCTGCCAGTTTGCTAGTTCCTTGATTATTTTTTAAGGATTTTGGGAGAGTTATTGGCTTGAATGTTTGCTTCGTATTAGTTGATTGTTAGTATTTGGTCGACTGGCTTTTGGTCGGCTGGTGGATCTTTAGCTTGTCGTCTTTACGAGTACTTGTAGCTTTTCATTATTGAGATACTCCTCGATTTATCTCTTTTTCGTCTAAACAGTCAGATTGCCCCGAGATTCGTGCAAATCATTTTTTAGTGTACAACGTTATAAAAGAGACGAAATGAAGAGAAAATTAGATTTAGAAGGGCGCCATATTTAGCTACCCTATATTTTCATGTTTGGCTAGATTTATTTTAAATTCAAAAGTAAATAGTATCAAAAAGGGTACTACCAAACACTCCCTTTAGATTTTAGAAGTGATGAGAATTTAGAGGAGAAAGAGGTGTTACGAGTGCTGAAGTTTATAATATGTGATTCGGTATTTCATTTTTACAAAACTTAATGTTTTTTGGAAGGGGCATTTACATGCATACCAACCAATTATTTTCCATTCACATATCTAACAACTAAACTTTTTTTTTTTAAGCTTAATACGATCCAAATCTTCATGTTACATTAAAAACATCACCATTTTAACTTCGAAAAAATGAAGACACATTTTCATACATAAGTAGTATGCATGTAAAGATTGAAGTTTAGAGGCTAGATATGTAAATAAACAAAATTAAGTGGTATTTAAATTATTAATTGACACCAATATATTAAAAAAAAAAAGAATTAATTTAGAAATTGACTTAAAACTGAATTTTAGTTATCAATCGATTTCTCACCAATAGCTTGGTATAAAATTGGGTGTATCGACATTTCAAACACGCATATTTAAATATTTATTGCATCAGCATGCATGACTCATAGATTTTGCAACATTTCTTACAAATATAAATACGATATAATAATATATTCATGATGAATTTGATTTGATTGTTGCAATGTGAAATTATATTTAAAAATAGGCTAAATTTTTAAAATCATATTTTTAAACCAAGAAAGATTTAACCTTTTTTTTTGGGGGGGGGGCAAGATTTACATAAATACCATTCAATTCTTATGTATTTATATGTCTAACCCCTATACGTTAGGGAAAAAATTTGCGTACGTAAGACGTACACAGCATTGCATACGTTTTCGAGGTTATACCGAGGGTATAACGAGGTTATATCCGCGTTATAACCCCTTGTAACCTCCATGTAACCTAGTGTAACCTACCTGTAACCTACAAATAAGGTCTTTACACTAGGTTACATGGAGGTTGTAAGCGGTTATAACACGGGTATAACCCCCTTATACCCTCGGTATAATCTCAAAAACGTACGCAGCGTTGCGTACGTCTTACGTACGCAATTTTTTTCCATACGTCAGGCTTTACATATATGTCTAAGTTATCTGTACATTAACTTTTTAAAATTTAAAATAGTTGTTTTTTTTATATGATTTAAAAATTTTGGGTGGTATAAATGTATAAATAAAAATGTAGGTGTTACACATGTATGTAAATAAATAAGAATTGGGTGGTATTATGTAAATGTCCCCTTTTTTATACATTTGAAACAAATGAGTACAAATATAGATCATAGTTTTTTCTAAAAGAATAGTATTACATGGCCAAAATACTTGTAAAATATATCTTTTTAATAATAGGTGTTAGATATGCAAATACAAGGGATTGGGTATTATGTATGTAAATTTTGTTCCTAGGTTAAAAAGGATTGGGTGGTATGCATGTAAATGTCATTAGGTAAAGAGCAAGAGAAATAGCCAACAATAAATGCCAACAGCTGGTATTTTGGAGGTGATATGAAATAATTGGGTAGCATAAATGTAATAAAGTAAAATTTAAGTGTAAATATATGGTTTGTAAATGCCCCTAAAATTAATTATGGTTGTAAAAATGTATAAATATGAAAAAAAATGACTAATTGTTAGTATTAATTATATATGTAAATTTTTCTAAATATTTAGATTTATGTGTTAGATATGTAAATACACAAGAATGTGTGGTATGTGTGTAAGGATCTGTTTGGATCAGCTGCAACTTATTGAATAATCTGCTGATAAACTGATTAAAAATAATCTGCTAATAAATTATGTGCGGTTGCTATTAGAATTTTTTATTTTTTTGAAAAAGTCAGACAGCTGCCAGAAAACTGCTATCGCACTAAATAGGTGAGGTGTGAAAACACAGCGTTTTCAAAAAGCATAAACTACCAAAACGCAGTTTATCCAAACAGTCCAGGTTCGTTTTCAAAACACCACCGCACCAAATAAACTGCCCCAAACGGACCCTAAATTTTCCAAACAAAAATTTCCCCCACTTGTTATCTCATCCACTTACTCCTAAAACTTAGCCCTCCCATCTCACCTTATCTTGTGAGTTCTCTTTTAAATTTGTCTATTTTTTTTTAAGACATTTCTATAAATTCTTCTTCATATTCTCCTTTAAAAATAAAAATCAAGTCATCACATCAACGACAACTTTGGCGTTAACGGAGCAATGTCAGCGTTGCATAAACGAAATTTTAGATTTTAAAATTTTAACCTTAAAAATATTTAAATTTTTTACATGTTTTATAGTTTTTTCTTTACTTCAATTATGACCTTTAAATATACTAAATTTCTCTACAACTTACTCGTATCATGAAATAATATTTTTCATAAATAACTTAGTTCAAAATATATGCAGAACTTATCCTAAATTTAAGATTATGATACTCACACTAAGCAACAATGCAATATAATTTATAAGTTAAAGTTTATATACACATCAAAGAGAGTTTACATCAAATATAGAAGTCAATATATCATCAGCTACATGCCTCTAACTAAGCACCGACAAGGTTTTGAAGAAACATACAATCATATGCAGATTTTCGCTTTGATTATTTGCCTAACAATCCCGATTCCAACACAAATTTGCATGAGAAGCCCCAGACGTAAAATGCTTCCCCAAGAAAAACTAAAACAAACAGGAATTACAACCTTTTTTAGACACGTAAACTCAACCCAAAATTCCATCAGTTAAAAGTGCAAATGCAAATACCATGAAGACGGTTTTCAAAGTTTGTCATGAAAGATAACCAGAACTTCGCCACCCTGACCCATGGCTTGGTCCAGGAATCCAGTTAGCTCATCCAAATTTCGAAATGGCTTTGGCGAAGAAAGATCGCTGTCCAAGTTATACCAAATTCCATCGATGCATCGTATTGAAACCCAATGCCGGCCTCGCCAAAGTCCAGCGAATCGCCTCACAGGGATGTTAAGGAGAATACCGAGTAAAGTTGCAGAAGAAAGGTTAATCGAAGCTGAACTATTGCGATGATCATGCCAAACCACCTTTTTGTTCCGAGTCTCGAGCGCTGAGATTAGAACATTTACATCATAATTTCCTGTTAATTTGTTATGGTGAGTTTTAAAAATTACAGAAAGTGGAGTCCATCTTCCTTTGTCAGGATCATCATGATCAAGTTTTTCAGCAATTGAGTCTAATTCAGCTCGAGAGAAAGAGTCCTCTTTCTGTATCAGAAAATAGAATGAAACACATTAAAAGGTTGATTCTGTAAAATGTATAGCCTGCAACTTCCAGTAGAAATAAAAAGAATAGGATACAAAGAATTGTATGCAAAAGGATGTTAAAAAAGGCGAAAAAGCAACGCTCAAATATTTTGAAATGAGGCTGAGTTGCCTATTTATGATGAATATTAATATGCAAAAGTTGAGCTTAATGTTGCCAATGGATGACACGATATCCTTCAATAATATAAATTCTAAGATTAATGTTTGAAATGTAAATTAAAATTTCTATTTCAAAAATATGTAAAATGACACGATGTTTTGAAAGGTATTTATGAACTGTCAATGGAGGCATTATTTGTATGGATGGAAATGTGAAATATTCACTAGTAATCATGGGTTAAAATATATCTTTATATAAGAAAAAAAAACTTGAGGCAAAGAAGATGGTTTGAGTTGATTATAAATTATGATTTGAAAATACAATATTACCTAAAAAAACAAATATTACAGCCGATGCTTTAAGTTGAAAATCCACATGTATTGAAAGCACAATGATTATTCAATAACATGAGTTAATTAGAAAAATGGAAGCTTTGTAACTAGATGTCTAATTCTGTCCTCATTAGAATGTCTTCTTTGGAATTCTCTTTCTTAATATTAAATAAAACAGATGAGAGGACTTTTGTGTTATTTATATATTCTTTTCCAATTTTTTTCTCCTGATTTATACTCTCTTTATCTCATAGGGAATTTGTTTGTTTCTCAATTTGTTAACTTCAAATTTCTCAAGCTTTGTACATAGGGAATTTGTTTGTTTCTCAATTTGTTAACTTCAAATTTCTCAAGCTTTGTACATAGGGAATTTGTTTGTTTCTCAATTTGTTAACTTCAAATTTCAATATATATATATATATATATTGGTTTTTCAATATAAGTTAGATATATCTGCACCTCAATTTTATTTTATGGTACTCTTTGATTCACATTTGTAGCCAAAATACATGAACAACATCATATATATCTAACATATCTGCTAGCAATGCTTACCTATAGGCAATTTTACCAACTGTTTCTTATATATTCAATGTATATGTATTTGGGACTCAATTTCTCCCTTTGGCCGAATTTAACCGTGGGTTGGAATTTGAAAAATACAAAATCATTAACTTTAAACTCTACTATTTTATGATTTGATTTATAAAATTTCTGTTTAATGAGTTGAGCATCTTTAACTCCATTTGTACTGAATCTATTTTTTTTCCTATAGCCTTGTTAATTAAGTCTAGTCCCGTCAATTGCTTTCTCCAACTTTAAATCAACTTCATGGGGTTTTTCACTTTCTAACATATAATGCCTCATAAGGTTAGGACAATTAACGATTCGATTTTGAGCCAAGCGTGAGTCTGCTCAAAATCGGCTCAAAAAAACTTCGATCCAAAATTTTAGCTCGAGCTCGACTAATTTATTTTGATCAGATCTCGATCTGAGCCAAAATTTAAATCATTTTTTTAGCAATTAATGATCATTGAGTTAAATTTCTAACCCTAACATCACTAGAACTATTAACGATCCGATTTCAAGCCGAGCTAGGGTCGGCTTGAAAAAAATTTGATCCAAAATTGGGGTCGGCTTGAAAAAAAATTGATCCAAAATTTTGGCTCGTAGCCCGACTTGTTTATTTCGATTTGATATCGATCCAAGCCAAAATTAGAATCCATTTTTCGAGCAATTAATGATTTTCGAGCTACATTCACAGCCTTACATATGATGCCGTCTTTGTTATAAGTAAATTATATCATTTGAATGTGATGCTCTCAGTTGTTGCCAAAATTCAAAAATATAGTCTCAACATAGCTTCAATCACTGGAATGGTCCCTTCTATTTGGCCATCAACTTGTGGATAAAATGCAGCGCTGAGATGCAAGTTTATTCTCAAATTTTCATGAATGCTCTTTCACAATCTAGATGTAAATCTGCTATTCTTGTTTGATACTACCACTTTTGGAATGTCCTATAATCTAATAATTTTTCACAAAGAATTGTGTTAGCTTTCAACTAAATATGTTTGCTTGATTGGCAAACAATGAGTGGTCTTAATTAATTTGTCAGGTTACTCATATGTAATCATGCCTTTTGACTGGATTTGAAAACTCCTAGAACAAAATACATTAATAGATTGACAATTTTTTGTTTAGATACAAACTCAACTACATCCATTTTCACATCCCGAATTAAAATATTCATATCATTATGCATCTGGTACTCCTTGGATGAATGATATGACATGAGTGATTAATTTCTTATAAACTCTCTTGACTCAAACTAGGTCCCAGATATTTCATCAATAATAATTTTCTCTCTTTTCTGACTGAGTTTGCTCAACTAATTTCTGATAATCATTGCTAATTTTATTCACATTCTTTAAATTTTTTTTTTCTGAGGTTGGTTCACAATAATCATATGCTGAAAATCCTGTGTTATCAAATATTACAACCCCAAAAAAATACAAGGATAAGATCAAATTGCCAAAAAATTCATACCCAAATTTTGCACATAATGAAAATTTGCACATGCTGAAACTGAACAAAGGTAATTTCATAAAATTTTATTCTTTGAAATTATCAATTTAAAATATAGATCTATATGGTAATATTGCTATATTAGCAATTATAAATTAATTCCTTGATAACTTATTGTCCCATGTTTTATTAGAATTACTATTCAACAAAATAATATTACTGTAGCGAACATTATTAACGCACAGTAGATATTTTTATTTTCCATTCACAAAAGCAAGCAATGGAGGAATTAGAAAGGGACGGTTATGATGGTTTCTGGGCTAAGCTATTCAGTATTACTAATATTAATATATATGCCTAACACACTGAGGATCAAGAATTCTCAGTATTCTTATTCTCGTAATCAGTTAGCAAAAAAGAGCAAACAATAGCTTGGGTAGGGTTTGGCCAAAAGAGAGAACAAAAAGAAGAGGGGGAGGCTTGGGAAACTCTGATAAATCTGATTTTATTGCTTTTCTTTTGACAAATTGAGTTTGGCTTCGAGTTGTAGGTTTTAAAGCTTGAATAAAGAGAAACTTTTGAGGAGGAAAAAAAATGTTATTTTGAGGTTATTTTGAGTTAAAATTGTGTTGCTGAATAAGGAAAGGTTATAACTTTAAGGAATTATTGTTTATCTGGCTGTTTACAAAAGAACAAAGCTTTGAAACAATAAAAATATGGAGCTGTTCTGAGGATAATCCAATATTTGTGATAAGATAACTAAATATCTAATATAGAGTATTAGAATAATATAATATTAATATTCAGATTTCTGTATTAATTGCTTTGACTTACTTTTATTTACTTTCATTTTTCACTTTATTCTATTTTTATTTGTTTCCTTACTAGTAGATCCTGTAACGAGTATTTATACCTCTCCTTGCATCAATAAGAAAACATCTTAGATTATATTCTAACATGATATCAAAGTCAAGAATCTAACCCTAGCTGTCAGCTCTTCCTGCAGCTTTTCCCTGCATGATTTATTTCTGATTTTTTCCCTAGAGCCATTCATTCTCTTATGTGTTTCGTAATTTTAACCTTGTCGGTTCTTCTCCCAGCCACTCCCATAAACAGAAATCTGCTGCCCCCGTGGATACCAGTCATGGAATATCCAGTGTAGTTGTCTTCCATCCTGTGAAGCAGGCTCATGCAGATCAGAGGCAAATCCGACTCTTCCTGCTATTCCAGTAATAGAAATCTGATGAACTACAAGTTGAAATAGCAAGTATGAAGAGTTGAAGAAGAACCGGAGTAGTAGAGTTCTGTGGCTTATATTCCAATCAAATCAACTTTCCAACTCAGATACTGGCAATATTCCTACAAGCAACCAGAACTATACGATATCTCGACAACCTAACATCTCATTTGGCTCAATCGGAGTCACAACAGATTCCCCCAACATTAAGTCGTCATCAGAAGATGTTCTTGATTCCACCGGAGGGTCAATTCCAACCTCCATTCCTCTTAAGATCGAAGAACAACAAAACAACATGAACTTCTTGATTACATAACTTCTCCAATGGTCACAATCTGGGTCCTTATTCATCAAAGGAAGTAGAAAATTCGGTCATCTCACTGATGTGATTTGTGAACCTCTAAACATATGGAGCATACAAAGTGGAGAATTTCATGGTCATGTTGTGGTTGATCAACTCCGTGGATACTTCTATTTGTCGATCATATATGTTCTTTTCTTCCGCTAGTACAATCTGAACGGCAGTCCGTGATACCTACTAAGGTGTAGAGAATTTCAGCCAACTCTATGATGTATTTAAGAAAATATGTGAGGCAAAAAAGTATCGAGGGTCGCGACCCAGTATTACAATGATCTAGTTGCATTATGGATGGAATGCAACATGTATTATGTCTACATTTGGGAATCTACGGCTGACTGATCTCTCTTCCAGAAAATCGTCGATAAGGACCGCATGTTCCAATTTTTAACAAGCCTCAACAAAGCTTTTGATGAAGTCTGGGGCCATATCCTTGGTCGAGATCCTCTTCCTTGTACTCACACTGCTTTCACTGAGATTCGCCGCGAAGAGAGCCGCAGACTTGTCATGCTTGGTGCGTCCACTCCATATGTCGAAGCATCCCCCCATGGCCTCAAATAGTGCTCAATCTCGAGTTGGTCACCCCACTTGTGATTAATGTCACAAATCCATCCACACTCGTGATAAATGTTGGAAACTTTACGGGAAATTTGCATATAAACCTTCGACCAAATCTTGCACTGCCAAGGTTCTCGCTGCAGCTTTTAAATCCAACACAGTATAGCCGGCCTCTACCAAGAACAATATGGAATCCTTTAATTCTCTTAAAGTCAAATGAAGCACTTAATCAAGCTGTTTGAATCCAGTCCACTATTTCCGGCTCATAGACCTCCAACATTCATCAAAGTACCAATCCTATAACACTTACTTCTTTCGATTCAGGTGC